AGACAAGTTTAAGAGTCAGATTTAGGCAAGGCATAAGAGCCATATTGCACTTTTATATGTTTCAAGGCAGGAGTTATATTGTAAAACCTTACATTTATGTTATTTATTTCCTATAGGAATACTATATAAAATACATAATTATAGAATAGGTGATGGTGGGTTGTAATAAAATGGGGTCTGTTCCATTTTAGGTGGGAATGCAGTAAAGCCTCAAAATTTTGAGGAAAATCTTTGACAAAATAATAGCAATAACTAAACAATGAAGATGTTCATATATGAAGCTTTAGTGTGATATACAGTATATTTGATGGATCTTACAAAGCAAAAATCATATTATTTCTTGCTTCTAGCAGCAAAGTTAATTTTCATGGCTATTGAAATATCTGGAACTATTTTTGCTTGAAAGATGATTTATTAAGATTTAATAAGATATCCATTTGTCTGAAGTGGTGTAGGGTTTCCTGCCTAGGCAGTGGGCTGGACAAGAATACCTTCAAGGTCCCTTCCAATTCTGTTATTCTATAGTCTGATCTATTGCTCAGCTTCAGAAGAGGAAATAATTGTACAGAAATTGGCAGAATTTTATCTTTTATAATAGCAAAATTAATACTCATCAAAATATGGAAAATTTAAATGAGATGATACAAGAATTTAGAAACTTTTATTTTGCATAACGAAACAATGTAATAATACCATTTTGAATGTTAGAAATTTTATTTAGTAAGTCTTCAAGTGACTCATAGTGGCTTTAGATCAGGTTCTTTTAATAAATAACAGCTTTCATTATTACTTTTATTTTTGAAATGTGCATAGCCCTAGTATTTATGTTTACTATAAAATAAACAAAAGCTGAACAGTCTCCTGGCCTGCTTGTTTTGAAGATGAATGAATGAATGAATGAATGAATAATGTGATCCTGTTGATACCAACATTCATTTATAATGGAGAAAAACCATATATTTAAAAGATTGCAGTATCACTTTTATTCAAATTCATAGTTAGAATCCAATTAGAGTAACTAAATCCCAAGTTATCTTTAAATTCAAACTTTGAGGAAAAAATAAGCAATATGCCCTGTGACTAGTTCATTTTGTATCATAGGTCTTCTCATATTTGAGCATTCTCAGAACCTGTAACAGTTTATGGTCCTATTTAATCTGTTTCTCCTTTATGAGAAAATTCTAGCAAAATGTTACAAGATTTCTGTGTTCACTGCAAGAAGAAAGAAATGCTATACCTTGGTTTTTGTAATCCACTCAGAGAACAGTAATAATTATAAAATATAATGGTACATGAGCGATTATATACTAAATGTCACAATATATCCAAGGAATTTTTCCATTTACTCCATAAGAAATCTGAACAACAAAAGGTATTTGATTTTCTAAATTTCAGGTATGCAGTATTGTATTTGCTTCATCAATTTATATAACTGCTCACTTAATACAAAAGTGAGGGTTCTTTCCTAATTACAGTGCAAAATAAATTAATTAAAATACATTAATAAAAAAGACATACAATATATAAACATACCAAGAACAGGGAAAAAATTCATCCAAAGGTCATTCTGTTGCATATTGACAATATCACCTCTGATAGAAAAGGCAGAAATAAAGGGTGAAATAGTAATGATCTAGAAAGCAAAACTCAAAAAACCCTTTAAATCATCCATGTATATTTTCTTTTATTTATTAAATTTATATAGCCAAATGTGACTCTAGGCAATATATTCCTATACTAGTAAGGTGTTTTGTTTTATATCAGAAGTTGTATTTGCTATCTGAAAATGTCATTTTACCCAGGACCAAGTGCCACTGAATTCACTGGGATCTAACCACAAATAAATCAGTTGAGATTGGATTTACAATTATTTAACATTTATTTGTTAATATTAATTGTTCTGAAAGGGATTTTTGTTCATTTATATATCAATATTTTCACTCCCAATTCTTTAGCATATTTCATAATGATTCCTTGTTTCAATAAGGGGAATACTGATTTCATTTTAAACAAAATGAAACCACCATGATGAGTGGCTCTAGTTTTCAGCCTAAGAAAATTCAAATTTGACTTTTAATGGCTATATTCTTTGTTGAATTTTTTTGACTTGCTTTAAAAATGGTACTCCTTGAAACCCAAAAATCTTCCTCTGGTTATATATATATATATATATATATACATACATACATACATACATACATACATACATACACACACACACACACACACACACACACA